ACGAAAGCAAAAGAGATGGAAAAGGCAGCGGCTGTAGGCAACACCAGGCAACTATTCAGACTAATAAAAGAAACCGGAATTAAGAAATCAAGTGTAAGTGAGATAATCTCAGAAAAATACGGAAACCCTATCTGCTCTCAACCCAAACGTTTGGAACGATGGGCGGAACACTTTAAAAAGCAGTTTAGATGGCCTTCAGCTACTGCACAACTACCCACTATTCCCAGAAAACCTGAATGGAACATTGAAGTAGGCCCCCCGACCCTACTTGAAGTTCAAAAGCCTATAGGTAATCTGAAACGAGGAAGAGCAGCTGGTCCTGATGGATTGGCTCCAGAGGTTTTTAAATACGGTGGTCCAATTTTAGCGATTAGGTTGACTAATATTCTGGCTAAAATCTGGGAAACGGACGTAATCCCATCCGACTGGTCACAATCACTGATTGTCCCAATATATAAAAAGGGGTCAAAATCATCCTGCGATAACCATAGAGGGATTAGTCTGACTAACATAGCATCTAAAATACTAGCCTCAATAATTATCGGGCGCTTAACTAAGACTCGTGAACTGCAAACATGAGAAAATCAGGCTGGCTTCAGACCTGGTCGTGGCTGTATCGACCACATATTCACCATTCGTCAAGTTTTAGAGCACAGACACGCTTATCGGCGTCCGACAATGATAGTTTTTCTTGACTTGAAAGCAGCATTTGACTCTATAGACCGAGAGGTTCTGTGGCAGTGTCTGTCATTGAAAGGTGTACCTGAGAAGTACATAAACCTTTTGAAGGCTCTTTACTCGAACACTATTAATCGAGTGAGAGCTTATGGCGAACTGTCATATGATTTTACAACCTCAAGTGGTGTCCGTCAAGGCTGTCCACTATCCCCATTTTTGTTTAACTTCATTATAGACCTGTTGCTGGAAATAACACTCTCTTCGACTGAATCTACAGGAATTGATCTCCTACCAGGGGGACCACTAAGCGACTTAGAATACGCAGATGACATAGTCCTGTTTGGTGTAGACGCTGGCAAAATGCAGTCTTCTGTTGGAACTGAGTAATAATGCCAGGATGTTTGGGATGCGTTTCTCCCCATCCAAATGTAAATTGTTACTCCAGGACTGGCCTGCGTCAACACTCGAACTAAGGATAGGGAGTGAAGTAGTCGAACGCGTCGACAACTTCACTTATCTTGGAAGTCTGATCAGCCCTAATGGGTTGGTGTCTGACGAAATCTCAGCACGGATTCAAAAAGCTCGTTTGGCTTTTGCCAACTTACGTCACCTATGGCGTAGACGAGATATCTGTCTATCAATTAAAGGACGAGTATACTGCGCATCAGTTTGCTCTGTTCTACTTTACGGCTGTGAAACATGGCCATTAAGAGTAGAAGACACTCGTAGGTTACTAGTATTTGACCACAGATGCCTTAGAAATATTGCTCGCATCTGCTGGGATAACCGGGTAAGTAATAGTGAGGTTAGACGCAGGGTATTAGGGAACGATGGTAAATCAGTTGATGAGGTGATGAATCTTCATCGACTGAGATGGTTGGGCCATGTGTTACGTATGCCTGAACACCGATTACCACGACGCGCTATGATGACTAGTGTAGGGGATTGTTGGAAGAGAGTTAGGGGCGGCCAAACCAAAACATGGCATCCGAGCTTGAAGTCACTAACTTCTAGTCTGAGCCATGTTGACAGATGCAGACTACCTGGTTGGGGTCCGCGTGACTATCGTAACCAGTGGTTGGAGACCCTAGGTGACATGGCTCAGAATCGGTCACAATGGCGTAGGTGTATACACTCTTTATCTTCCCTTAAACCTTGAGACTAAAATTGCTTCATATCTCTCTTCCTTCTTGTACTATATCCTTATATACAACCTATAATTTATATACTACTACCAACACTAGATTAACTACTATGAGTCTGGTGTTCCTCTTGTTGTGCTAACGAGGTATGGCAACTTGGACCGATGCATATATGTGCCTGGTCCTACGTTGTAGCTGACTGACTGACTAGTACTGGACCACCATCCTTAAAAATCTCAGGGGTCAACCTGTCAGGGCCTGCTGCTCTCCCTCGCTTCAGAATTCCTATAGCTTTTTCAACCTCACAGAGGGTTGGAGGACTTACATCAATTTGTTATTCAGGACGACTGGGGATCGTGGGTAATTGAAGTGTGGCTGAAGGCCAGTTGAACTGATCCCTAAAGTGTTCGCCCATCGATCCAATCTCCTGGATTGAGAATGAATAATATGTCCATCTTTATCTGAGATGGTTTCACTGATATTCGGGTTCCTAATACCGGTTTCTTTAACGAGTCTGAATAGCTGCCTACTGTTACCTATTGCCGCTGCCTTTTCCATCTCTCTTGCTTTCGCTACCCACCACTGTTCACGATCATTACGTAGGCTTCTTATAAGCCTTCGCTTAAGTTGACTTCGCTCTTCGTTATGCTCAGAGCCAGGTGGGATGAGTTTACGAGCATCTATCAGTGCGGTAGATGCTGCCGAGATCCATTGTTTCTCCCTAACGTTATGGTCTACCTTACTAGCAGATATCACTGCTGTTTCCACAGCTTTTCGGATGTCATTCCACGCTGCCTCGGGGTGGACACAACTTACATGGCTGCCTAACTGTTTTCCTAGTTGTTCCTGAAATATATTCTTAGCTTGCCTATCATTAAGTAGAACCCTTAGAGGCTTCCCTGCAGTGTCTTTCCTACGACCAGTAAGACGCAGACAGATACGTGCTCGCACTAGAGCATGATCTGAATCTAAGCATGTGCCCCAGAATGAGCGACAGTCTTCTATCGAGCCCCTCCATCGGTGGCTGATAGCGATGTGATCTAGTTGGGTCCAACGTTGGGACGAATTCGGGGGTCGCCATGTCAAAAGATGTTTTTCCTTATGCTTAAAGTTAGTATTTGCAAGAAATAGGCGGTTATCTGAGCATAGCTGCAACAGACGGTCGCCATTATCTGTTCTTTTCGCCATGACACCATAAGATCCACCCAGGTGTCTTTCACTTAGTTTACCTACTTGAGCACTAAAGTCACCTGCTACTATTACTACATCAGAACGCCTAGCTTCTCGGCTGTGGGAATATCGAAAATGATTAACGTCCACAGATACTGTCGTCGGTTGCTCAGGTTGACGGTAAGCTGTCGTGTACCATAGGTCGGAATGACTGAGCCATTCGCGAGGCGCAGTCGAAGCATCGTAGGTGCAGACTTACTGTTACCAAGAGGTACGACAGAAACTTGGGCACCTGCATCCACTAGGTGCCTGGCGTTAGTGCGATAATTGTGCACAATAAATGAAAATAAACGGACAACCCGACGTGAAGGGCCGGTGAGTACGGTAGAATTTACTCTCCGGCTCGGGGCTTTCCCGCCTTGTATTGTGTTGTCGGCTGCTTATGTCCACATAAGTAGTATATGGTGATGGTCATACATAGAATGTATTTTGGCAGGAGACCGATAAGGAAAGAACTGAAATGAACAATGAAATTAGAGAAGATGAACTGATATTTACAGAAGAAACAGTGAAGATTGAGACCATTGAATGTTATTTTGCAAATTAACTGTTTGCTGTATGGTCACCAGAATTTGGTGAGGCAGTCTGTAATTTGTGCCTAAATAGATTCGATTGTCTTTACTCAAGCTCTCATTCACTAACTATGAGCAGAGAGCTCGACAATGGCGAGCACTGGCCCCGAAGGCACGGTGGAACCAACACCAACCGGAACTCGCTTCCGAAACCGCTTTTTGGAGTGGCTTAGAAGATGCCTGCTTGGAGCAAGTTGTTACGGCTTACCGAGAGCGGGACCTGATTAGGGGGACGTAGGGTTCTGATATATTAAATCGGCCTCGAAAACTGAGAAGGGTGTGAATACAGTGATCTCTATCACTTTGAGCCAAAAGGCGACTAGCATCGAGATCGGTGTTTGAACATGATGTGGAGGCAACCATGTAGTTTTCTCTGGTGCTAGTCCGAGCCAGTATCTTATCCGCTATGAGGGTCGCCTGGCTGAGTGGGGTGTTTTCGAGTAGAGCATAATAGTTGGTTGCATATGTACTGGTAGAGATTCCAGCCACAGATCCTTAATGACCTCGGAATCGGCTGTCGTAAGTCCTGCAACAGATGACAGGCGTGTGAGGTGTGAGGTTTAGCATCACCCAGGGGGTGACGTGCTAATAAAGTCCTCAATCGTTCTTCCCTCGAAGGGAGGAAATGTCTAAGGACAGCCTCTTTGAGACGATCGTAAACGTTAGGTACATTCGCATTAAGGAAAACCTCACAGACAGTAATTAAATGGTTCTAAGGCTGCGTTTTCAGAGCGTAGGCATACTTTTGTCGTTGGTTCGTTATGTGGCGGATCTCGAATCGAGATTCCAGTACCGCGAAACAAACTTCTGGATCGTGGGGAATAAAGGAACTGGTCGAAAACTGATTGCCTGTACTTCTGAGTCTATTATATTAATGCCATTCTTATCGTTATCCACCATATTGATTTGTCGCCACAATATATTGTATACTAAAAAATATCAATACGTATACGTGCAACAAAAGTGGACAGATAGACAATAGACTCACCGTAGTAATCTTCTCTGGGAGGTTGTCCAGAGGTTGAAACGTATTCGAAAAATCAGCTCAGCGTATGTAGACTATAATCACCACTACAATAAGATTGTCAGATATCGACTTGAATCCCTCGGTAGGCAAAAAACCAGAAGGCTTTTAATGGTCCAGATAACATTTATTTGTTGACGATCTCGTGGTATCGAAAGAAAACCAATACGTGCCAAAGATTATAGGCGAAACGGTGGAGCGTGAGCTAGTCAGCGCAAGGACACTGACAACAGAAGGAAAAGTGTCTTTGATGCAAATAAACAAACAAGTAAACCGAAACAATCATTGGTACAATTAGTTATAACAATAATTGTTACCATTAAACCAATCGCGTTCTCGTCATAAAGAAGGTCACTACACTGGTGACAACAATCTGAAAGTATTTGTTCATCATTCTTTTTATGAATCATTTTGTACTATAGCTTGATAAACAGAAATCCTATGATAAGAATCAGTGCTGTTTATCGTCACTGAACTTCTCAAACTGTTTGGAATTACTTCTTTTTCTGTAAGTGTTTAAAATGGGAAGACAGTAATTCAGCGCTTGTTTCAGTCTAAGACCTTGATCAACTGGGATTTTCGTACGATAGTTTGTAGTCGGAGATTTTGCGATGGAGCAAACCTGTTATTATAAAATTCTAGGTATCAAGAAAACTGCTTCGAGTGATGAGATAAAGAAGGCGTATCGCCGTCTGGCACTCAAATGGCATCCAGACAAGAACCCAGACAAGAAGGAAGAAGCAGAAAAATGCTTCAAACTCATAAGTGAGGCATATGAAGTTCTGTCAGATCCTAAAAAGCGTGACATGTATGACAGACGCGGTAGAGGTCCTCACATTGGTGAGGCATTTGTATTTGAGGGTGCTGACCCTTTCTCAATGTTTACGCGATTCCACTTCCGAGACCCCATGGATATATTCAGAGAAGTTTTTGCTGGCTCTGGACTCGATTCTCTCTTTGGTTCTAGTATTCATGACTTCCAGAACGATACTCAGCTGAATAGAACGCTCAGGTTTAACTCTCATCGCAACGCTGAGCGACAATCTGGATCTCCTTATCATCATGCTGGACTTTCTAGTCAAGTGCAGAGTTATGATCCTATAATTTCAGACCCTTTAACGGGTGGACTTTTTGATTCTCCGTTCGGTGGATCACTGTTTAATCCTCTGATGGCTTTCAGTAATTCTGGGTTCGCAAATCCCCAGGGTTCCTCATCAACCTCCGTCTTCAGTAGCTTCGGTGGATCTTCGTGTGCAGGTGGTTTCAGGTCAGTTTCAACATCCTCCAAATACGTAAATGGAAAAATGGTTCGTGTAACAAAAGTGGTAGAGAATGGTACTGAGACCATTACGGAAGAAGTAGATGGTCATGTAACTAACCAAACTGTCCGACAATGTGGAAATGGAGCCCTACAAGCAATGTGATTTATCTTCACCCGATAACATACTTTGTTCGCATAGTAAAACTATATTAATTTTGTGTTATCAGTTCCACAGTTATTTGTCGAGGTTGATAAAGTAATATTTATGTCTAAATGAATGTCTTAATGCGTCCAATTTCTTGTTACGTCTATTGGACGTACCACTGTTGAATCCTTACATAGAATAGATCTTCTCCGCTGATTTTGTTAATGTACATTCTCACTTTTCGTATGATATTCGTGTGGAGTCCCTTAGTTATGTCATCATGTCTTGGTGGCTAAAATCATGTAAGTTCATAGATTAACTTATCCGCAGTTCAATCTATTAATATCTGACTGCAGCCCATGTTTCATCTCATGGTTGTCCATTGGCCATTAGGGCATTAAAAGGAATATACTGATTCACAGCTGCCAGACTTCTCGATATTTGCGAATATCCAGTTTTCCAATATAAAGTTTCCGTCAGTATCATGAGGGTGCGAACTACGTTCTTAACCAAGGCACTTCTGCCATCATCCGTCAGTCTTTCGGAAAACTCAGTTCTTTGTGTCCAAGATGTAATTTATTAGTCCGCAAAACAAGCTCATGACCGTACTGACAGTAAAATGTGTGACTTATCTGCTGGTCCTGTGGATGACACGACGATGTCACACACGATGTCACAAGAGGACTTTTGTCCTTTCTTATAGACTGGCACAATCAGTGATTGGGACCAGTCAGATGGAATTACGTCCAGTTCCTAGATTCTATCTAAGACCTCAGTCAATCTCACTGCTAGTACTGGACCCGATCGTTGCTGCTACCTTGACGTGGTGGTCGGGCTTGCCTATCGTGATGAAGCAATCGAGCTATGCTGGCTGGAACAGTCGTTCCTCGAGGTCCTACCATGCCAGACAGGTCGGTTGAAGAGCGGCAAAGCAGCAAACCCAAGGTCCGAAGGCGAAGTCGTACTGCTGACTGTACAGAGGTGTGAAGGCAGTAAGGTGTTTCCTTCAGACAACCAGCATGACAGCGATGCTGCCTTCCCACGAGGGGTGGGGTTAGAAAAGGTCGACCCTAAAAATGCACACCTCGCCTTATCCCACGGATGTTCGTCTCCGGCGGTAAGGTTTTTTTTGAAGAACGGAGCACGTCACGCTACTGTCTATTAAAGAAGTTGTATACAGCGAAGTACTGTTTATGACTTATAATTACAAAGAGCATTCATAATTCCTTGATAAGGATGTTCATAGAACTGTACTTATAGCCAACATCACCATCTAGCCGTTACCATAACATAGTCAATTGTCAACGGAACTTGAAAGTTAATACAACCAAGTGACACAAATAATCCTCACGAATCGTATTGCAGAACTACTATGCTAGTCTATGTCCTTTGTGTACATAGCGGCGTCCCAATAATACTGTCATATCTAGCAATCTACTGGAATTGCTTTTAGCGGGGATCTCCAAAATTTGATTTCCTGAAGTCATCTATAAATCATGTATCTGAAGATAATAAAAGTGAATTCTGGTCCATGTGAAGTGTCAGCTTACAATAACGTTTTGGAGGTGCAGTCCCAGGTACTCTATTGGATTGACATTTGGCACTGTTATCAAACTAGACATTCTGACGTTCATACGTTCACTAAGTACCACATGTTTTGGAATACATCACAGATTTCTTAGGAATGCTGTATTTGAACCTTTGCTCGCAATGATAACGACAACTAAAATAACACTATGCATGTGTAATCCCGAAACCCAATAATTTCACTTTATTTCTTAGCCTTAAATTGCGTTTTATTGTAAAGAACTTGAGACTGTCAGTTTAAATAAACCGTGGTCAAAGTAAGTTGTTTACATTTGTGCGATTATAATTTTTTCGTGTGCTGAACAAAACACAAGTGATATCAGTGTAGTACACGTCTGTTTTTATAATTCTGTAGAATAAACTGGCTACAATCTCACTAGCATTTTTACAATAAAGTTCGAACACTAAGTAAAAATCTCGAAAGTCATTTCTTAAGAGATAATAAATCTGACAGTCGATTCTATAAAAGTGAAAATTCATTACATTTCAATTTGACCTATATGAAAATAGATCAATATCCTAACTAGGTATGATTTCGATCAATTTTATTTTTTGACAATAATATCCACTCTGATGTGACCATTTGAAGCATGATGTAAAGATTTTCTGCAGACTGGTAACAGAAACCTAAGTTGCTTACAAGGATGTAAACATATTCGGGTTCCTCTTGACAAGATTAAACACAAATTCACGGTTACAAACACTTCAATGCTTTTCAAGAGACGATATATAATATGACATTAAAAGACTTTATAAGGAATATTTTAAAAACAGACCATTCAGTTCACACATTAAGGGGTTCATCATTGGCACAAAACCCATCCTCCTTGGGTGTGATACGGAAAAAATCTGTAAAATACGAGAAGGTAAGAAACCTTTTGACAGGTTAGTAATGTGATGCAATAGTCCTGATTGTCGCATTACAGTAACACAGTGAGGTTGTTAAACTCAGTAACTCGATGTATAATTGGATGTAGAAATAAAACGAAAATCTGAATATGCCTTCCAATTTTCTTCCTGATGTTTAGTAGAACTTGACAACATACAGAACAGAGTTTTCCAATCAGTTTTCAATCATGAATAAGCTATCTGTATCATCTTTGATACATATATTTGCAAACTGAGTCCTGTTTAAAAGTACAGAAGTTAAAAAAATTAAAACAAACGTCAACAGTAAATATTCCATAAGGACATCAGATTTTCACTGATCTGAACGATAGTACAGGTCAATAGTTAGTTCAGTACCCAGAAACCTTGAAGTATTAAGTTTTGTTTCACTCTCTCAAGGCTAGTGATGCTAGTGGGTTACCCAGAAGGAAATATGTGAAATCAGGTTTGAAACCGTGACCCAATGGTTTATAAGTAGTGAAGTCCCATCAATTGAAGTATATAATAAGACCAAAACTTGGTTGACTAATAGAGCGATCAGTTTGACTAATATAGTGTCTAAAATATTAGCTTCAATAATACTAGGTCGCCTAACCAAAGCTCGTGAAGAGCAGACTAGAGAAAACCAGGCTGGTTTTCGACCTGGACGTGGTTGCATAGACCAGATATTCATCTTACGTCAGGTCCTAGAACATAGACACAAATTCAGACGTCCCACAATAGTAGTGTTTCTTGACCTTAAGGTGGCATTTGACTCCGTTGATCGTGAGGTTCTATGGCAATGTTTGTCACTGAAAGGAGTACCAAAGAAGTACATTAACCTCATAAAGGCTCTCTACTCGAACTGTCATCAGAACTGATTACCACAAGTGGCGTTCGTCAGGGCTGTCCACTCTCCCCATTCTTGTTTAACTTTGTCATTGACATACTTTTAGAGATAGCACTTTCATCAGCTAAACCTCCAGGAGTTGAGCTTTTACCAGGAGGCTCACTTGTTGACTTAGAATACGCCGACGACATAGTTTTACTCGGTGAAGACGCTGACAACATGCAGAGTCTTCTGACCACTATAAGCAACTATGCAGGCATGTTCGGAATGCGATTCTCTCCCTCGAAGTGCAAAATGTTACTTCAGAATTGTGTTGCAGCGACACCTGAACTAATGATAGGGAGTGAAGTAGTTGAGCGTGTAGACCACTTCACTTATCTTGGGAGTCTCATCAGCCCTTGTGGTCTGGTATGTGACGTAATCTCAGCACGGATGCAGAAGGCTCGTCTAGCTTTCGCCAACTTGCGTCATTTATGGCGTAGGCGAGATATCCGTCTAGCAACCAAAGGACGGGTTTACTGTGCAGCAGTTCGCTCCGTCCTACTTTATGGCAGTGAAACATGGCCAATAAGAGTAGAGGATATTCGTAGGCTACTAGTGTTCGATCATAGGTGTCTTCGAAGCATTGCTCGTATATCCTGGGACCACCGGGTAAGTAATGCAGTTGTTAGGAAACGAGTACTAGGTAGGGATGGCAAATCGATTGATGAAGTGGTGAAACTTCATCAGTTGAGATGGCTGGGACATGTGTTACGTATGCCCGACCACCGACTGCCCCGATGTGCAATGTTTCATGGTGTAGGAGTAGGTTGGAAGAAAGCTAGGGGTGGCCAGACTAAAACGTGGCACAAATCAATGAAGTCACTGACAAGTGGACTGGGCCATGTTGGTAGGTGTAGACTACCTAGTTGGGATTCGCGAGATGACAGCAACCGATGGTTAGAGACCTTGAATGACATGGCTCAAAATCGTTTGCAATGGCGAAGATGCATCCACTCTTTGTGTTCTACCAAATTCTAATCTTCTGAATTCCTCATGTCTTTATATTTTTCTCTTTCCAAATTTATTTCACTGTACTATACTCCTTCAATAATTTCTTCAAACCCTAATCTTTTGGATTTCTGATTATACTCCTACTACTTCTACCACTATGGGATTTGAATCGACAACTGCATCTCTGTGCTAATGTGGTATGGCAACTCGAACTGATGTACGTACGTACGAAGTTCTACGTTGTGACCGACTGATTGACTGATATGAATCCGATGCCCCCTTGTACCAATATATGTGTTTAAATAAATAAAAAAATAAATAATAAACTCAGGCAACAGAACTTGGTTTAGCCTTATGGAAGACTTGGCGAATGTATCATGTAGTTATGTAAATTAAGTATGAAAATTACAGTTAAGATGACTTCGAATTACACACTAGAGTTTTTCAAATGACAAGTTTTTCTTTAATGAAACTTATTTACTTGTTTTGCACATACTAATTTATGTACTAATCAACTAACTTGTTTTAATTTATAAGTATAATCCATAGATATTATTCACACTGATCACTCAGTATAATAATGAATATGCTAATTGTCTATTCCTAATTGCTTACTGAATTTTATAACAACCAATCATATCGGTCTCCACAATCCGAGTTAATAGTTATAATAGGAATCAAGTGGTTGATTTAGTTTGCTAATGATTGTGAATTTGAGTTTATAAAGTACTTCAATAAAATACTGTAATTAATACTGGTTGAAAGTGTTTTAAGCCTATCACTCATTCAAAAACAGCGTAGAACCTGTCATGTGTACATCTGTTGCCACATCATATCAGTGTGTAGCTGTAAATAATTCCCCAAAATCAATAGCTCATTAAGTGTTCGACATTGGATGCTGACCACATTGTTTAAGTGGACTTGTTTAACTGAAGGCTTTCGGACATGCATCCGCACCAGATCACGTTGCAACACGGCGTGGGACACAGCTCCTACGTTCATTAGCCAGCTTACAGTAAAGGTTCCTCGATATATTGGTAACGTATCAAATATATCTTTCCTACCTCTCCTCGTCTGACTTCTGGTTTCTATTCGACTGGGACCCGAACGTTGCTGCTACCTTGACGTGGTGGTCGGGCTTGCCTATCGTGATGAAGCAATCGAGCTATGCTGGCTGGAACAGTCGTTCCTCGAGGTCCTACCATGCCAGACAGGTCGATTGAAGAGCGGTGAGACTAAAAGCAGCAAACCCAAGGTCCGAAGGCGAAGTCGTACTGCTGACTGTACAGAGGTGTGAAGGCAGTAAGGTGTTTCCTTCAGACAACCAGCATGACAGCGATGCTGCCTTCCCACGAGGGGTGGGGTTAG